AAAATCTAACGGGAAAATAAATTAAAGAGTTGCTTTGATAGTATAAAGGAGTCACATGCAAAAATCAAGGAGAAGAGGTAAAGGATAGGGGAAATAAAGTCATCGATGCATATCCAAAGGTTAGTAAGCTACACGTGCCACTTAATAAGAAAAGGGTCATCGAGATGATTTCAATGACTCTAAAAAAAGCCTTATTTGGTTGCTTAAATCTAAAGCATGTGCCCGCTTGATCACAATAAAGTGACGAATATACTAGCGCATGCGATGCATACACTAGCGCTTTTTTTTTAGATTATATTTATTAAAATGCCAGATTCTCCCAATTAATTTCGTTATACCTAACTAACCAAGATAAAAATACAGAAAAGCTTTTGGATTTGAGTTAAGGAAATTTTACTTTTAAAGGTAATTTAGTTATTTTTATATGGTTTAAGAAAGTAAAAATTAAAAAGGCTCTTAAAAGCCAACTAATAAATGTTGCTTATAATGATACTTTAGTTATTTTATCATGCTTTAAAAATATAAAAAGATCAAGTTATTTCTTATCAATTTAATAATAATTAAAGAACCTTGCAGAAATACCACATTCCCCTAATAATTAGTTCAATAGTTTTTTTGAGAAGGGTAAAATTATCATTTTATTATTCTTATTCAAAGTATAATGAGTTTATATAATACAACCTTCATCCCTTTTAGTTTTTTTTTTAAATGGGAATAATAGCCGTTATCTTCATATAATAGGAGTGTAACGACAACTGAGCATGTGAAATGTTGCTAGTACTTTTATAACAATGAAAACCATATCATTAACACAAAGGGTCATCGAGATGATTTCAATGACTCCAAAAAAAGCCTTCTTTGGTTGCTTAAATCTGAAGCATGTGCTGCTTGATCATAATGAAGTGGCGAACATACTAGCGCATGCGATGAATATACAAGCGCTTTTTTTTTAGATTATATTTATTAAAATGCCAGATTCTCCCAATTAATTTCGTTATACCTAACTAACCAAGATAAAAATACAGAAAAGCTTTTGGATTTGAGTTAAGGAAATTTTACTTTTAAAGGTAATTTAGTTATTTTTATATGGTTTAAGAAAGTAAAAATTAAAAAGGCTCTTAAAAGCCAACTAATAAATGTTGCTTATAATGATACTTTAGTTATTTTATCATGCTTTAAAAATATAAAAAGATCAAGTTATTTCTTATCAATTTAATAATAATTAAAGAACCTTGCAGAAATACCACATTCCCCTAATAATTAGTTCAATAGTTTTTTTGAGAAGGGTAAAATTATCATTTTATTATTCTTATTCAAAGTATAATGAGTTTATATAATACAACCTTCATTCCTTTTAGTTTTTTTTTAAATGGAAATAATAGCCGTTATCTTCGTATAATAGGAGTGTAGCGATAACTGAGCATGTGAAATGTTGTTAGTACTTTTATAACAATGAAAACCATTAACACGTAATATTGAATCTGTCAAATTAATAAACAGTTATTAAAAACTATGATCCAAATGGATGGAGCTATATCAATTATATAATGGGAGAGTAATGAAGTTTGGAAAGAGATTTTTAGGAGTATAATAGTTAGAGTATTTGATACTATATTTTAAAAATATTTTAAAAAAAATTAATTTTTTTAAATTTTAAATTAATATATTTTTAATATTTTAAAATTATTTTAATATGCTGATTTTAAAAATAATTTTTTAAAAATAAAAAAAATTATTAATATATTTTTTAAATAAAAAATATTTTAAAACATAACAATAATCATACTCTCATGCACTCACTTAATTTATATTAATCCACTTTAACTTGCTAGTAAATGCTAAAGTAAAAAACGATCCGGCCTTCATTTAGCGAATTAGCCTACTAAATCAATCTCTCTAAATATGCACCCGCAAAAACAAGGCATGGTCGTTTTATCCGGGGTATATTTGGGAGGGCCGGTTAATTATTTTAAAAAACGTTATTTTTAATTCTAAATTATTATTTTTTGTTTTGATTTATTGATATAAAAAATAAATTAAAAATTAAAAAATATATTATTTTAATATATTTCTAAATAAAAAATAAAATAAAAAACAATCTTTACTGCTATTCCCAGCATTTTTGAACTTGACAACTGTGCCCATACTGAAATAAGAAAGTAACATTGTATGATACATAGATACTAATCCATCATAGATACGTGCCAGGAAGAATCCTTCCCCCACGTGGACAACATATGCTCGGATAAAGGATGGGATCGTGCCCCCTTGTGGATTATCAGTGGAAGCTCGATCAGGGCTCAACCTGAGAAGGCCCTTGACTATAAAAATTCATTTAAAATATATTAATTTAATATTACTTCCAAATGAAAAACAATTTGAATAGCATGAGCTGTGAACACTCCCGTGTAACCTGAAATCATGGGTGGTATGTGAATTGACCAATTTGCCCAGAATCCATTCAAGCCACGTGATCGTGGAACCCTATGGTAAAGAAAGATATGCGTATTTGAAAATGTTATTCAAATCATCTTCTTTTAAAATTTAATTTTTTTATTAAAAAATACTTTTTTATATTTTTAAATTATTTTAATATTCTAATCATAAAGATAATTTTTTAAAAATGAAAAATATTATATTAAAATATTTTAAAATAAAAAATACTTTAAACTAGATCAAATTCAAACCAGCTGACTTTATGTATAGAATACTCGGTGTGATCCGAAGAAGTTTTGAGATAGGTACCATTACTAGTTTTCATATTGTCGAAGTAGCATCACTTGTAAAACATATGCACGACTTTGTCTCAATTGACCTTGTTTCAGAGAACACGTTCCTCGAACCAAAAGTACCGAGGATGGCATTTTCGTCACGCAAATTATTCTCGGTCCATTCGGCCAATGGATTTTACTTGGTCTTCCCCCGTGTAATTAAAGTGTATTAAATGATAAGAACACCTCAATTATATATTTAGAAATTATAACTACGGATTTCCTCGTTTGATTCATTCGACTTGATAATCTAATTAATTAGGAGCTGTGTTCCTCAAATCCGCACCTCTCGCAGTCGGGGTTAAAGCCTTGTATTCTGAGTTGATTATATCTAGGTCCCTATAGTTTAATGAATGTATAATTGGTCTTCATTATTTTAAAAAATATTGTATAATTCATCCTTTGGCTTCATTATTTTAAAAAATATTGTATAATTAACCCTTAGCTCCATTCCGCGGCCTTTCCAAATTACTTTTTTGTTTTCTTCTTTTAAGAAAATATAAATAGAAAAAATAAGTGGGAGACAGGAAGATTTGACGAGGAAAGATTTGGAAGAATGTATAGGATGATAGTCAACATTGATCAAGTAATTATTTAAGCTCTTGAAAATGTGTCTGTATGGAGTGACTGTCAGTTACTATATAAACCACAAAGAAGACTGTTGTAATTAACTTCACACATGTTTCATGCAATAAAGAGGAAGAAGAAGAAGAAGATGAGGCACGCCACCTTAATTGCGTGCAGTAGTGGAAATAAAGGAGAAGACACTGACCGTGTCAATACGTGATGCTGACGTTTTCCCCTTTCTTTGCCTTTGAACAGTGAATGGATGAGTTCTTGGAGCATTTTACACATTTTTTACTTCCCAGCATGTAGATGGATCTCATGGATGAGGGTGAGGCGACTGGCGATTTCCAGGAAAGGGGGAGTAGAACTTGGATTCACAGGTTTCGTCTCGCAATTCTCCATGGTAGTTGAGGCCACTAATGGAGGAGCTAGATCTGAAGCTTCTTGGATGGATACTTGGGTGTTAGAATTTGACTTTCTGGTTCTGAGAGGAAAATGATTTGCTGACGACTCTCGATTTTGTTTGTGCCGCCATTGCATATGCATTCATTGTATTTATCTATTTGTAAAAGATTATTCTCGAAGCAACTTCACACGTGTCAATTAAATCCACTTCTTGAGTATAGTTGATGGTAGTTTATTTATATCAAGATTAGATAACGTTTGAGAATTTCACTTCTTGATTTGAGATTTCAACTGTAGTAGTTAAGGGAAGAGTGTATACTCTCTTAACCAATTAGCCAATCTCTTCAAGAGAAAGAGGAGGAGAATTTTAGATCAATTCGCAATAAAAATCTTGAATTTGACCTTCTTCAATTAAATTAATTTTATTGAACATGTATTGATTATATATATATATATATATATATGACGGGCAATCAAGTTATAAAACCATTTTTTTTAATAATATCATTTAATTTGCATTTATTAAAGTTGGTAAATGTGATGGGGGGAAAGTAGCAGCTGATCAGGAAAAAGAAAAGGACAACAATGGTGGAGCTTTCGAAAATAAGATTATAGCTTACACTAGATGGTTATCACATCATGATGTAGCTTACTCTAGATTATAGCTTTTGAAAGTTACGAATGGTGTCAGTTGGCTTTAAAAAATAATATAAAAAAGTTATAGTAAAAAAAATATTTAAATCAAGAAAATATTAACTTGATATAATTTAATTTATAAATTTTAAAAATATAATTTAATTAAAAAAATTAAAAATATATTTTTTAAAAGATATAATTTAATTTGATGAATTTTAAAAATATAATTTAACTAAAAAAATTAAAAATATATTTTTTTAAAAAATATTAAAATATTAATATATTAAATTAACCCATAAAATTTACAATTTGTGTTATGAAAATATAATAATTTTATATAAATTTAATTGAATTAAATTATAAAATTAAATTTTAATTAATTTTATATTAAAAAACTTGAAAAAAAATAAAAAAAAATTCATGTGAACTTATAAAGTTTATTATTAAATTTATAAAATTACGATAAGTTAATAAAAAATAAATTAAAATAAATTATAAAATTTAATTTTTAATTAATTTAAAATTAAAAAAAAAATATAAAATATAATATAAATTAACTCAACTCAAATTAACTAATTAAACCCGTTATTTTAGTGATAAAATTAGGATAACATCGTAATAACTATACAAGAACAAGAGTTCGTAAAAGAAAATCGTTGCCATTTGAATTGTAATGATTTTTTTTCTCTTTTGGTTTGTAGGATGCATCGAAGAAGAGTGTGTTGAATTTGTTAGAGAAGAAAGGGAATAAAACTGAATTTCAACTAGGATTCAAGTTTTTTTTTTTGTGTGGTATGTGATGATCAAGTTTGGTTTTTCAATCTGGAGCTGTTATGGTTGACGCTATGTTGTCAGGAAACCGGCTGTCGCTATGATAGCTGGTGTTGATGGAGGTGGGAAGACAACATCCCTTGGTAAGTCAAGAATTTAGCTACTAATTATTGGTTTTGAATTGAATTTTGGAAATGAGGTAATTGTTTTGAGTGGTTGGAATATTTACCTAAGCCAGTTTAATGATTGCCAAATTTTTAATGGTTTCTGGTAACATACACATTGAGAGAAGTGTGGCTCCAAATTGTGAGGAGGTTTGAGTTGTAGAATTTGACTTCGAAGCTTAGAGAGGCTTTATTAGTTCATTGCTTTTCTGAGAAGTTTGAGGTCCTAAATACAGTCTCATGGACTTGTGTTCTTGAGACTCTCTCTCTCTCTCTCTCTATATATATATATATATAACCTTTTTTGTTCCTATTGGTTGCTAAAGAAATGTGATCTCATTCGCTGCCGATGCTGCAGGAAAGCTAGCATATAGATTGAAGAAATCAGGGGAAAAGGTGAGATTTTGCTTGCTTTTGTTGCAATGTGATAGATGCCTTTACAAAGAGAGTATTAGGATACTGAAATTTGCATTATCCGTAGAGCTGAATTGAAGATAATATTGATCCAAGTTTCTGGCAACTGATTTGACATCCCAGGGAAAAAGTGCTCATTGTGATGAGGACTCAAAAGGTTCATGAATATGTTGTTGAATTTTGGCTCTTGACGATGCTGTTTTACCAAATACCAATTCTATCCGTTGATTCTACTGGTATGGATTAAGATTTAGATTTATTTTGGAGAATTTGAAAGTTGTAGCCTTTTCTTGGCTTGCAATTAAAGTGCATGGTCTATGTTTCAGAAGGACTTCCTTGTTCCTCCACACAAATTCCGTAATGAGTTGTGGATGTAGAGAAATGCATTCTGTATAATTTTTCTTGAATATATATAACTATCAATTGTATGGATTAAGAAAATTTAGAACGGCCCTTTATTTGAATGTTGTGTCATAGATCTGCTGGAAAAGCGTTGTATCAATTGCTTGAATATATATAACCATCACAGGGGCTTAGTTAAATTGCTATTGACTCCTAGGGATATGAATAAATTTATTACTTTGCGAATGTAGAGGGTGTACCAGCGAGTGCAGTCAGAGGACATAGTTCAGGGATCTTACTGCACTACTTGTGCACATGTGATTATTTTCTTTCCATTTTTTCTCGTTCGGCTTGAATTGTTGCTTAGTTTATCGTTTTGTCCTTTCTGAATCTCCCAAAAAGAGAGATTGTCTCGTTCACAAAAGGTCTTTCCTTGGGCTTTTGCTATCATTCCAGATACTTCTGGCAGCAGGTGATACATTAAGGGCAGCTTCCAGTGACCAGTTGGAGATATGGGCTGAAAGAACTGGGTGTCAGATTGCTGTGGCTGAAGGAGAGAAGGCCTAATCATCATCAGATAGACAACTACTTTAGCCTTTTGCCAATCTTTAAAAGTTTGAATACTTGGCATGGCTACTAACATATGATCTTGAAGTGTTTTTCAAATAGTTCTTTCTCAGGCTGTAAAGAAAGGGAAAGAACAAGAATTTGATATTGTTTTGTGTGACAGATCTTGATGCATGTCTGCAGATATTCCATGATTAGCTATCCAACTTCTATGTGCTTTCTACCTGTTATGTCTTAACTGAAACCTATATATATATATTTATCAGGTCTCTCCACACTAATTACAGCCTCATGGATGAGTTAAAAGCATGTAAGAAAGCTGCGGGGAAAATAGTACGTGGTGCACCTGATGTAAGCTGTGATCATGATGTTTTATATTCAAGTCATTGCTTCTGTACCATTTATTTCTGTCTCCAACACCATCTTTCATGGTCAATTTACACATTCCTAATCTGAAAGATTTTGCCAGAAATTTTAATCCTTTGAGATCTCTTGTTTGGTGTTTTATAGTTACAGTTCTATCTGGATTTTTTACATAAGATATATGGTTATAATCATCGGTTATGGAAAACTCGTTTTAGGGATGAAATATCATCAAGCAGTTGATAATTACTCTTAAAAATTGCTTTGCACTGCCAAAGACTAAGCTTGAACAATTCTTGTAGAATGGATCAGCAAAATATTTTAGTGATTGCCTCTTCATTTATATCGTGTATGTTCTCAACGTTTTTGTTGGCATTATTATGCCCGTGGTAATTTTTGGAAGAAAGGAACATTCTTAGAACAGCCAAAGGATTAATCCAAAAGGAGGAAAGGGAGAGAGGCCACAGTCTAAACATGATTATCTAGGTGCAGAAACACGACCTAACAACCTTTTTGAGGAATGAACAATTAGGCAAGTTACTGGCAACACAATCACCTACTGCTTTTTTCTGTTTTTCATGTATGTAATGTTTCCCGATTGCCACGCTTTGATGCTATTATTCTTTCTTCAAGTGTTAAACTTCTTGTTCAAGTCTTTAACATGCAACTGTGCTAACAGGTTGTTGGAATAACTGGTTTCATTTTGACAAAACTCAATGGTTCTGCTAGAGGCGGCTGTGTGGTATGCTCCAGTTTCAATGAATTCCTTTTGTTTCATGATTTTGGTGATTAGTGAGGCTAATTTCCTTATGCAGGTCAGTGTGGATGACGAGCCTGGCATCCCTGTAAAGTTCGTGGGTGTTGGAGAAGGTGTAGAAGACCTTCAACCCTTTGATGCCGAGGCTTTTGTTAATGCCATATTTTCTAAGGGACGTTCATGTCCCAGATGGTGTGAATATGCAAGTCCGATTTAATAATATTGCCAGAGATGCTTCATCATTTGAAAAGGTGATTGCAGTTGGCCATGATGCATATCTAATTTCCAAGCTAGGAAGGAATCTTATAATTTCTATCCCTGTAAACTTATCAAAGAAGCATGCATCTAAATGCACAACATTACAGAGGACGCAAAGGCAACGGCAGCAGCTGCTGCACGCAGAAGTGAACACAAATGACCCACAAAAATACTAAATTGCTTTTCTAAGATTATTATGTCCTGTTTTGAGTTCAAGCACGCCCACACACTCGCACACTTTGAAAGGCACATTAACATAAACTATCAGATACCTACAACAGGATATCAGAATACTGCAACGAGCATCTCATTCTTATTGAACAAATTAAAAGAACTCGTTAATGTTTGCAGGCAAAGCATTCAAATAGATAAAATAACAACATATTTCGAATCACAGAAATTCATAACTTGGCAGGAGGCATGTGATAGATGGTAGCGCGAGAAATGTAGACCAACTTCCTGGTTTTCTTGATTCTGAATTCGGATGCAACTGCAGTCAAGTTCCTTCCACTCCTCGCTACGGCCGCTTCAACAACCAACACCTCCTGCCAAGATAAATTTTTTAAAAAGATTGTATGACTGTACTATATCGGATAAGAATCCTCAGGCATGTAAAGCCAATATAATCAACACAGGTGAAAAAGTCATTATACAGAGTTAAGTACCGCATTGTAAGGCAACGAATTACGAGTTAAACTAAACCATAAAATAAATGCAGATGAAGGAAATTGAGTTGGGGGGATTCTAAACTTACACAAGTTAATTAGTCTTGAGGCTTTTTCTATATTGCAAACGAGACAAGCATAAAAGACACCAAAGGAAAAACTCACATTTAGTGTTGCTGCAGAGAGATAAGAGATACTTAATTCACCAAGAAACAGCTCTTTATCACCAGCCACTACCGTTCTAGCACAAGCAATGGACACTCTCTCTGCTATAGCTCCAACAGCGCCTCCGTGTAGCCCATTAAAGTAATTCTAGGACAGTAAATTAAAAAGACGGTTAAACAAAAACAAATCATTTTCAATCCCATTTCTTCATGAATTTTTAGAAAGCAACGAGTGAGAATCTTACACCAACAGCAGGTGAGACAGAGAAGATGCAAGAGACGCGCCCACGTAGGACATTGTCGACTTTAAGGAGATCGCGAATGAGATCAGAGTAGAAGTCTTTGGAGAAGGAGTTTTGAGGGAGAGAGGCATGGATTCCGACGTCTGCAAAAAAACCTTTGACTGCCGAGACATAATCTGAAGGCAGGTCTTTTGATATGGTTGTCGTGGAAGAAGAAGAAGAAGAGGTTTCTGTCATCTCTCCCTGCCTCTGCGTCTGTTTGCTCCTTCAATCCCACCTAATCTTCTGGGTAGTTATGCTCATAATTCTTTGATTTAAATCCTAGGACTGGCTCAAATAGCAAAATTTAACCTCCTGTCTAGATCCACACTAAAATTTTTTTTAGGGCGTGTTGGAAGAAAAGGGGAGGGAAAAAATAAAGTTGTTAGTTAATGACGTCCGCTCCTTTTTATTACTTTTTAATTTTTTTCTAATTTATTCAAAAAAAATATTTTTTTAATTTAATATTTTTTAATAAAATTTAATTTTTAAATTGTGAAAAATGAAATAAAATAAGAGAGAAATGCAATGTAAAATAAGGAAAAAAAACCTCAAAATAGATACAAAAAAAGATGCCTTTTAATTTGTAATTTTTCCTTATTCTCTATTGTCCCTTTTAAAATTTTAGTTTTGATCTAAAAGCTTATTTTGTTTTCTTTTTCTAATCTTTGATTTTTAAAGGATGAGAGAGAAACTTATTAAAAAATAGCATGAAAGAAAGAAAGAATATCCCATAACAAAAAAAAAATCAATCTTAATATAGGTAGATTTCATTTGACAATATGAGATCCATTGAGGTACTTTTTTTAAGCTAGAAAAGAAAAGGAATTTTCAATTTAATTTTGTGTTTTCAGACAATTTTTATAGATATTTTGAGTGTAAAACATGAAAAAATAAAATCTTAGAAGCCATAGGTGATAAATCATGACATTAAGTTAGAGATTTTTGCTTAATTTGAAGCGAAATTGCTGAATTGGGTTGTTCTGAAATTGTGTTGTAATTCATATGTAATAGATCGTATAAGTAATGGGTCTTATGGCTAGATGGGTAAGAGAAGAAGTACCAAAATTATTTGGAAATGGAATTGAAAGGTTGTAAGCTGGTTTGTCTTGAATTTTGCTGTATATGGCCGAAAATTTATAGTTGTGAAGATAGGGAATTTGGAAAACTTGAATAGATGATGTAATTTTTGTGTTAATTTTTTTTTGTGTTAATTGATGATATGTGAGTTAATTTTTATAGAAATTAGAGTGAATTTGGAATTATTGTATGATTTGATAATTGTGACCACGATATTAGAATATATAGGAATGTTAAATCCTAAGTTATATATGTGTATTTGGATAAAAATTTATATTTTGATATTTAATTGATTTTTAATTTTATAAATATTTATTTTAAATAGAAAAAATTAAAATTAAAATTATTAAATTTTATTAAGGTTATAATATAGATTACGAGTTTACAATGAGTTTCAACTCTTGTAAAAAATTTATTATATAAATATTTTTAGATTTATTTATGAATGTAAAAAAAAAATCATCATAAATGTATACGGACAGATGATGTTGTTTCCAAATATGAATTTTGTAATCGTAACGCTCTATATGTATGATGGTCAGCAGTGACTAAAAACAGGTCAACTCCCCAAATAAATAAAACAAGATCAGACAGATCATTCCCCATATGTAATTAGCTGGAAAAAAGTTGGCAATCTATAAAAAAAAGAAGCTGATTCATGTATTTATAATTTCTAAATCCTCAGAGAATAAGAAAAACACAATCGTCTGATTCTCCATATATTTTCTGTAATTTAGTGCTACGTTCCTGGTCCTAAAAGAATAACCAGAGTTAGCAAGATGCCTGAAGGGACTATTCAAGTTCTTCTTGTCGGAGCCAAAGGTCTCGAGAACACCGATTTCTTCTGTAAGATTCCTCTCCGTCCTTTCCACCAAAGTCCTAAGATATGTTTTCATAGATAGTGCATCTCGAGTGTGCTTTATGATCAAGGAATTTTTGGTTTATCTACAAATTCAATTTCACACTAACCATATGATTTCTTTCAGTGTTTTCTTTGAGTTTTATGTAAGATCTTGCTATGATCGATCCAGATTATAGGGTTCCCTGCAGTGATGTCAAAACATATCCATGTAATCTAACACTAACCATATGATTTGTTAGCGATCAGATCAGACAAGTCTCAACTTCTCAATTTCTAGTTGATGATTTTGAAAATCTACATACGATATTTTATTCGTTAGTTTTGTGAAATTAACCTGGTAAATTAATGCATTGATTTACATGTTCATGAGCAGCCAATATCGATCCATATGTGCTTCTCACTTGCCGATCTCAGGAGCAAAGAAGCAGTGTTGCTTCAGGTTCATTTCTAGACCCCTTTCCAAATATATTTTTAGGCATCGCACATTCAAGATTAATTTGGTTGAATAACAGAGGATGCCATAGATTTTTATTTAATTCGCGTTTGTGTCTGGGATCAAATTAGAAGGATATTTTGCTGATCACAACACATGTTGGTCAACGTGTAATGTATCTGTTTAAATCCTTCAGGAAACTGCAAATGACTCTCTCTCTATATATATATGTGTTTTCAATTGAATAAGTGACTGGTTTATGCAGGACAAGGATCTGAACCAGAATGGAATGAAACCTTCGTTTTTACCATTTCCGAGGGTACCTCAGAACTCGTTCTGAAGATAGTGGATCATGACACTCTCACGGATGATGATTACCTTGGTAAAGCAAGGTGGGTCACATTCATTTTCATCTAATTTTAATTGTTTTTTCACCAGGAAGATCGATATACCAAAATGTTTGTGGATTTTATCAATGAGGACCGTACTATGCTGTTAGTTCTGTATATGCATAATTATTTCTTTTGCATTAGAACATGCAAGGACTAAGATTATCTGCATCATATTCCATGTTGCAGCATTCCTTTGGAGCCACTATTCATAGAAGGAAATCTGCCAACAACTGCATACAATGTTGTCAAGGACGAGGAGTACCGTGGAGAGATCAGAGTTGGCCTTAGTTTTACTCCCGAGGTATTTTCTAGTTCTTCGGTTCTCCTACATGTAGCTCCTTTAGCTGGGTAATATCGATTCATTTCATGATCCTTTTGGGGCCTAGCTGGCTCCTGTGACCAAGAGCTCTACGATTTGTCTCAAAGCCATTACTGAGCAGTAAAATGGTCAAGTCCCGGAGAGACGGTAGATTCCAAGCAAGAACATGGACTGATATTTTAACTGTAGTATGTGAAGAACAAGTATTGTTCTGTTCATTTTCTGATATAATTACTGTTTTCTCTCTGTGATTTCATAACCATGACACTTTAATGTTTTATGCTAATTTTTCCCTAATCGCAATATCTCCATCCTGCAGCGTCGCACTAGTAGGGCATTTGATGCTGGGGAGGAGAGTTATGGAGGCTGGAAAGAATCAGCTTACACAGATTGATTTCATGTCTTCAGGGCAAGCTCATCGTTTTCAGATCCTTGGTGTTGAAAGTGAAGGGAAAATAAACACTTTGATTTGTTTTGGGAATTCCAGTTTGTACGGGTTTGCATTAATAAACTCTTCTAGTCTTTCTTCACGGATAAAATTGTTGTAGAGACCTGTGTTTCCTCACTTTGCTACCCATGGTTTAACCCAGTGGCCAAGGATAGTTTTGAGACAGGAATTTTATACACCACAGGGAATCTGCATCACTGTACTCATTTTCTACCACTGGGCGATGGTTAAATATATTCAACAGCTGAAACGCAATGTAAAACAGCCTTTTAATCCAAGTGATAGTGCTCATGTTACAATCATGCCCATATCACAGTGTATGTATATTAGGAACAAGGACAGCAAAAGCATCACCAGCATTACCAGAGAAACCTCCAGATAAACTGGAGTAGATTTTGAACAGGATCCGTGTTCAAGTTTCTAGTCTAATGCAAACCGCAACAGGAAAGATTTAGGAAGAAGTACCTAACTTCTGAATCACAGGTACAAAAACATTTCTGCAGAGGCCATTCCTCCTAGAGGCTCGAGTTCGTTCGTTCTTCTATATATTTTTTTTATCTCTTTGCACAGGTGTTGTTGCCCTTAGAACCCTTTTAGCCCTGCAAAAAACTGGCTATTGCAGATGAGCTGTCTCAGCTCGGATAGGTACCTGCTTCCCTTCAAGCTCAGCCTGAGAAGCTCCGAAAGGTTCTGATGCTGAAACGAAACCTTTCTCCCTTGATCAATCTCCTTCCACAGTCAATTTTTTCGTTGCGAGGCCAGTGGCGGATTAAAAAGTATTGTTAGCAAGAAAAAATAAAAGAAATTCCAAATTATTGACCGAGTAACGGTAATGTTAAAATGTCATAATTTTAGCATGATCTCTGTCAACATTATACCTTGCAATATCCCACAGAGTAATGCTCAAATAAAGGCTTTAAAAAAAAATTATTTCAATATATTTTTAAATAAAAAATAACACGCATTACAGTATCAAACATAACATAGCTCTTTTTTTCATATTTTTTTTTTAGTTTTTTTCTTGTTGTGATCTCATTATTTCCTCTCAAATCCTTATAAATGTTATGATTTCACATTAAAAGACGCAAAGATCTAAAAAGTCTCAAAAAAGAAGAATTAAAATAGCAATTTATTAAATTGTTTGGAATAATATTCGAAACTTTATGAAAATTAGAAGAATAACATCGAGTTTGCACCAAGATACATTACAATAAACAGTGTTTCCTAATCTCTTTTAAAATATTAAAAGGAATATAAAATTATTGTAAAGATGGATGCAGGAAAGAGGAAAAGATAAAGGATTGGGACAATTCTGCATGAATGAAGAAACAGAATCAAGACATCATCCAGGGAACAAGAGATACCTAAATTAAACTTGGATGATGGATAATTAGATGTACGGGTGGTTTCTATTTCTTTTGTCGTGTTCATAGAAATAGAATTTTTTTTGAATGATCTGCTATGCAGTAATCACAACTGACTCTAGGATTTATGAGGAAAGATTTTGGATGCAACGAACATAAGTGGCCTAGATGAGTAACATTGTTTTGTTAGAAGTTGGAAATTTATAGCACCTGTTTGAACTGCTTTTGCACCTTTAGATATGGTTGAGTAGTCTAACATGGATTCTTCGTAAGCTTAATGTTTTTTTATGGTATACTTTTCCTGGTTGCTTATCTGATACAAGTTTCTTTTGTTCAAGTTTTGCAGGCAAAATCTATCTATTGTGCCCTTGATGTTTTTCAGTAGCCACCTCATACTGAAAGAGAAAACCATTAATGCTGGCTGTCGAACTTTAAACTCTCCTCTTCTTCACAAAGTTTTATCTGAAGGTTCTGGGTTTGAAAGAATTTTTTATTTCACAGATTCCACACTTGAGACCTGCTGAATACAAGAGGTCTAGATTGTCCAGGAGCCACAGGACTGTGAATCGTGTCTATGGTGGTGTGTTGTCGATGTGGTTCTATAATTTCTCTAGCTCGATTATGCCCGAGATCTTTCAGGTGGTCAGGATTTATTATTTGCATTCCAGCGTCCCAACAGGTGGCCTTGTGCTTACAATGTCCAGGATTTGATGTTTCAGTGTTTAGAATGAAATCATAGGCCCATTAGTGTCTTTCAAACTGGAAGTTTCTGGGCTCATTATTTTATGGGCTCGGGCTCTACTCATGCTCTACACCTTGGGTACTAGGCTTTGCCTCGTCTCTTGTGATGTTGGGCCTGGGTTGTTAGTATAAATTCCTTGACCCATCTTCAACTACAATCTTCCGAATCATCTTCTCTTTTTTTTAACCGCCCCGGCAAGGAAGACGTGCATCAAATGCTCTGGCATTTATTGAAAAATCGATGAAGATGTATAAATCAACTGAAACTGGAGTCATAGCAAACTCCTCTATCAGCCTTATTTGTTAAAGCCTTGCTTGTGGCCTCAACAATTTGCCCGTTGCTAATGCTTCTGCTGTCGTTTTGCAAACCACGTTTGTGGTGCTAGGAATCAGGAACATTTTGAGGACATCTATGGAAGTTCTCCATGAGAGGAAAAAAACAATAGAAAAGGTGGATACTCCTGATTGGACTACAGTTGCAATTTACTGATAAATGTTAACTTACTTTATTTTTTTAGTTTTAAAAATTTAACTCATGTGTTAATTATATTTTAATTTTTAAAATATATTTTAATTAAGTCATACTTAATTAAATCATCCTAATTTAACTTGTGACTAATAATTTTTAATATGTATAGATTATTAAATTAATAATATGTTGACTTGGATATAAATTATAATTATAATTAAATAATTTAATTTATTATTAATTAAATAATTGATAAATTTTTATTTGAAAACTATATATATTATAATCCTCTAAATATTAGAAAAGTTATTAATAATTTGATGTAACTTCTCAAGAACTGGTTTCTCAATATAATTAATATAATTTCATCAACATTATTTTACTTTAATATTAGAGTATAAAATATATTTCTCATATTAAATTATATTTGTTCTTTGCATAAATATTTAGTATTTAAAAGAGTATCAACGAAGAAATATTTTAGAAATAATGTTTTGATTCAATAAAAATCTCATAATTATAATAGCTTTATAATATTTTTGGCAAAATATTTTTATCTCATGAATTTCATCTTTATTTTAGTTTTATTAATTTAATGTTAAAAATAAATGAAATATTTATTAATAATAAATACATTTTTACTTATAACCTAGAACACATATTAAATCCAATTCAAGCCCAGTCAGCTTCTTTTGCTTGTCTCGAAAAAGTTTAATAAGCTCCCTGGAGCTTTTGCTCCATGCTATTTTTCCAATGTAATAAACATCTATGGGTCTACCGGGTCTCGAGTCTGCCCTCTAGATTAACCAGGTATTGCTAGGCTAAATTTATGGTAAATATATGTCCATCGTTTTTGCATGATGTCAATAATTAACGTAAACTAGAAGGAAGTTGACGGAGAAATCACATAAAAAAAGAGTTTTAGATTAGAGGCTCTTGTTGAAAACAACAGTAAGCGGGCCATATCGAGAAACTTTCAGGAGAATAGGAACCAAACAGTACGATTAATCAAGTTGTTGAATGTTGAAGTACTTTGGTGGCAAGAACCATGTTTAAGGCGCTTCCTTTGGTCTTAAAATTCTCTGATTATTTACTTCTGGAAGCATAAATAATAAAGAATTGAAAAGGAAGAGAAGGGAAGAGAAGAGCATGGAGTGGACTGGTAGTTTTGGCTAACCATAAACCTCCCCAAAAAACACCAAACCCCTAACAACATGTCTTACAAAATTCAAGACTCAGATTTTAGCATTTGGGCTCTCAAGATTCGGAAGACTTACCAGGTAAAGCTAAAATACACTCTCTTTCCACTCTCCTTGGTAATCTAAGACTTATTTTAAGTCTTTATTTTCGACTATTTGGTTGCTTATAAAAGCTCTAACTGCATCGATTTAGCTAAGTGCTTCAAAATGAGAGTGATTATCTAATTCTGAACAATATTGTTATGAAAGTTTGATGTAAAATTTTTGGGGTTTATTTCTTTTAGCATTCACAACTGTAGTTTAGCTCTAATTTTTGTTCTGTCGTGTTTTTGGATCAATCAGTGTTATTGAATTAGAGTTGCGAATGAAGTTTAATTTTGAAGTTTTGTATTCTCAGAGAGCTTGAAGCATGATTTTGGGACATACTGATGGTTTATCAGAACTTGGGTCATCAAGAGATCCCCTAATTGCCTCTCCTGAATCAGAGTTGAATGTTGAGGATGACGAAGAACAGATATTGTATGCAGCTTCCTTCGAAGAACTTGCGAAAAATCATGTTAAATATGACACCATTATATGGATTTCTATATCATTGTTGCTGGTTTTAGCTTGGGGGATTGGCATCATTATGTTGCTCTGTTTTCCCTTTAGAAGATACATGCTTCAAAAGGATATTTCCTCGCGCAAACTGTATGTTACTGCTAATGAGATAGTTTACAAGGTACTCATATGTGTAGTTTTTTTTTTTTTCTCTGGATAATTACAAGAGAGAATTAGTAGCATAGATGCAATTCTTACATTCAGTATTATTTTTCTTGTGTGAAGTTTTCAAGGCCTTCGATACTCTTTTGGCGTGTTGCAACAATTGAGAAGTGCATTCCTCTATCCCTGGTGATTGATGTCATTATTGAACAAGGTATTGATGCAATATCAATAGATTTTTGTTGTGACAGATTTCCATTGCTCTTTTCTTGTTCGCTCTTCCATTTGCTAGATGGAGTTTATAATTTGTGGGTTGCATGTATGATAGTTTAGGCTAGGTGTATGTATGTCTTCCTCTCTAAATCCCTGTTGCCCAAGGATATGGCCTAAAGAGAAGAATAGGCTATGCAGTTTTTTTTTCCTGCCAGGCTACATGATTGTAAATGCTATTTTCCTGTTGGTTGGACAGCTGCTATGCTTTTTTTTTAATTATTTTTCTTGGTTGCTCGTAAGTATTCTTGTCAAAAGTCTGGCTAGCTAATCATTGAATGCACTGCAAATGTGCATATTTTTTTGTCTTTTTGGATGACTCGTGAATTGTATATGCTTCTTCTTCAGTGAAAGATGAATGATTTAATCAATTTTCTTTGTATGCGAACCATGTCCTCTTGAATGATCGCTTCATAAAGACTGGTGAGATTAATATGTTCTGATTCTTCATAGGTTGCTTACAGTCCCTTTATGGAATCCATACATTTAGAGTTGAAAGCATTGTGCATGGAAAAGCCGCACCTGTAGATGAACTCCAGGTTCAAGGTGTTTCCGACCCTGGAGTTTTGAGGAAGGTATTGCAAACTTGATTGGTTACTTTATTGCCTTATTTCACTGTGAATGTTCTTGCTTTTGAAACAAGATGAGCAGGATACAAGTTGGCTATAACAATGCATTTCTTGCAGGTGATAATAACAGAAGCTTCAAAGAATGTACAGGATTTTGGGAAAGGTTGGAATCCTACTCTTGCTATTGAAGAGGAAAGCCTGTCCAGAGTAGGATCATTGAACGAGGGACCATCTGTCTTTAAATCACCATCCAAAAGCTGGAAGGTAATTTAAACTTCAAACTTTTTCTACGTATTCTTTAGAAGTTGTTTCCAATTCTTAGAAGACGTATTCTTTAGAAGTTGTTTCCAATTCTTTATTTATGAAGGCCAACACATCCTTTTCCTCCCATTGAAATATCCTTACTCTAACAACTTCAATCTCACTGTAGTAACACATTTGAGGTTTTTATGCCTTGTTCTAGCTGAGTTATTCAGTTTGTAACAGCCCGAACCATTATGGATTAAGTTCTTATTTTAGCTACCTTATTGTGGAGAATGAACCTTGGATGCTGTGGTTCTTATGATACACATTAAGGTGCGAGTCGAGTTTGGTGCAGCGCAATTTCTATTCTCCCTTGGTACCTTAAACTGATTCTGCTTACAAGACATAGAGGTTCTTTGACTTCTACTTCCCTTGCAAAAGTGAAGTCCATTTCATTTGGATATGCATTCTAAACTCTCAGGAGGATGGATGGTGGGTGCGGATGTGTTACTGCATTCATCAAATTGATGTTCCTGAAACTGAGAGATACCGCCTATACTTTGCAGATGACAGGTTCACCACGCTATACTTCATCAGAGCATAGAGGTTCACCACGCTATGCTTCATCAGAGCATAGGGGTTCACCACGCTACACTTCAATGGAGCATAAAAGTTTAATACAAGGGGAAATGCTGCTAAGTAAACTTGGAGAAGTCTGTGAATCAGTAAAGGTAAGGACCTTTATCTGGTCTTGGCAAATGTAAATAAAGAAAAGAGTTTCCGGTTTTCTTCTGAAATTTTTTTTCTGTGTTCATCCTTGAATGAAGTGGTAAGCATTCCGCGAAACACTTGCCCACTTCCTCGGAACATTCAAACAAATGATTTTTTGAGTTGCCCATCCTTACAAGTATAACTTTCAAGTAACCTAGCACATCATGCTTTTTTTTTCACCTTAGTTTCCTTGACAAGCCGAAAATAGTTGCTTCTGCTAGTATTCTCGTTTGTTTTTGCAAGTGTCCCTCATTTCTCTCTTTTATTTTTCGTACCAGAAAATGGAGTCTCTTATTGAGAAGTCCCAGGCTTCCCCAGAAAGCAGATGAAGTGGAGTAAGGCTCTTTTGGACTGGATCATCAAAGCACAAGCGTATTATACAGAACTGCTTGACTAACCACCCTACCACCAAAGATAAGGGTGGAAAGCATTGATTGCAAACCGTGGACTCCTTCGCGGCTCGTTTTGTTTAAATTCAGCTCGGATTTTTTTTTTTTTTCATAAATTGTTGACCTCTGGGAATTGTTCAATGGATTTTTATCGAGACTGATTAGCGTGAGTAGTCTGACTTTCCTTCCTCTGAAGTCAGGGATTTTTATCGAGACTGATTAGCGTGATGATTAGTAGTCTGACTTTCCTTCCTCTGAAGTCTGACATGTGAATTCATTCATGACTCATGATGATAACTTGAGTTTAACATTCAATTTCTAATCTAATAATGATAACAAAGAAAGAAAGAAACATAATTCTTGACTCTTGAGGCTCAAATTGGAGGAGATCAGAAATTGGTAAAAATTATCGGTCACGGTTAAATCAGAAACACGGACCAAAGGTTTATCTCATCATATCTCCCAGGAAATCGCATTGAGATTAAGAAAATATCCACATTACTAAACATAAAATTAATAAGAAAAGGTAGGGCAAATGGAATCATCAGAGACTTAAATACAAGTAATCACGAAATTAATCGATCATTTTGTTGCAGTTTTTTTCTTCATCCCATGATTTCATTTTGTCCCTCTAGTTTAAAAAATCAGATCAAATCCCCAGAAACAAAACCTGATGAATTTATACCTGTAGAGAAAGCAACTTAAAATCAGAGAAAAAGAGATACACGAGCCAAAGGACACGCCGATAAATAGAGAGAAGGTTGAGGGAGCTTGGTGAGGAAAGGAAAGAAAGGGTCGAGCACTGACGGAAGCGAACGAGTGTGGATTATATTTATAGTGTAGGAGCCTAGGGGTGGAGAAACCCTAATTCAACGCGCTCCAGTTTTGCAACTTGTTGGCGTTTAGTCGAACCGTTCGATTTTCCTGTAAAATATTCACATCGACGGTCCTTCTTTTTCTCATTTCTTTCTTTGTATTTTTCTCCGTATATGATAAAAACCTTTTAATTTTTATGTTTTAAAAATATTTTTTTATTTAATTTAAAATAATTTATTTTTTATTTTTAAATTATTTTAATAATATTATTAAAAATAAAAAATTAATATATTTCTTAAAAAAAATACTCAAAAAAATTATTATTATTATACCAACAAGCAATCTCTGAAATCAATAGACTGCCATTCTTTCACATGTGATGTTTTTTTTCTTTTTCCAAATGGAAAGAAGCCTGATTTTCTTTTATATTTTTAATTAATCAAGCAAGCCTTATTGTATTTCATGTTTCTAATTAATCACTTTTATTATTTAATTAATGAAAAAAACACTTTTTTCTAAATAAAAAAAAGGAGTTTTTAGTACCCTTTCCTTATAAATTACTTGAAATTGAAATGGTACTTTTTTCCTTTAATTTTTTTAATTAATATTTTTTTAAATTTTATTTTTTAATATTATATTTTTTTTTCGAATAAGTTATCTAACTCTTATGGTATAGATAATAGATTTGATACATTAATCTAGTTTATTTATATATTTTTTTAATTTTTTAATTTTTTTTGATCTAGTTTATTTATATATATTTTTAATTTTTTAATTTTTTTTAATATTGAGTTGATTAAAAATTAAATATCATGATTTTTATTTTTTATTTTTTTGCTTTATATTAAGTTGTTTTGGTCTCATGACCAAAAAATAGTACTTAATGAGTTAACCTGAGTTAATTAGAATTGTTTTTTGTATCTTTTTTAATTTAATTATTTTTTTAATTTTATCACTCAATATTAAATCAATTAAAAATTGAATTTTATAATTTGCTTTGACTTATTCTCTATAAAGATATTTTGATCATCTAATGAAAGTCACAAGTTTTGACATTTTAATCTCTATTAAATCAGATTGTTTTTTATTTTATTTCTAATATGTTATCTTGATCTCATGATCTAGGTCATGGATCCTTTAATATTGGATTTGCTTTTTATTATATTATTCCTGTTTCGTAACCCATGTCATGTGTTTAGCGAATTAACCTAGTTGACTTAATTTTTTTTAAAATTAATTTTTTTTCTAATTTTATCATTTAATATTATGTTTAATTAGAAATTAGACTTCATAATTTGTTTTGATTTATTTTTATTAGGTTATCTTAATCCCATGATTCAAGAATAATGCTTAATAGTTTAACTCAAAATATTTTTTATATTATTATTTAATTAAAGTTTTTACAAATTTCATTGTTTAACATTAAATTTGATATGTCTTTTGAAAATTGAATTTCATAATTTATTTTGATTTGTTCTGTATAAGGTTATCTCAGTCTCATTATTAAAGTTGTAAATTTGACAAGTTAGCTAAAATCTAGTTTTTTTTTGTATGAGGTTATCTCAGTCTCATTATTAAAGTTGTAAATTTGACAAGTTAGCTAAAATCTAGTTTTTTTTGTTTTCTTATATGACATTATCATGGTTTCATAATTCGAGTCATAGTTTTGACTGATTGACTCATGTTATTTTTTATATATATTTTTAAATAATTTTTTTAATTTTAGTTTTTAATATTAGGCTGATTGAGTATTAGAATTTGTAATTTGTTTTGATTTTATTTTTACAAGGTTATCTTAGTTTTATAACACGGTTTGTAAGTCTAACAAATTAACTCAGACTATTTTTTTAAATCCCTTTTAATTGATCAATTTCATCATATAAAATTAATTTAATTGAGAATTAAATTTTGTAATTTATTTTTATTTGTTTTTTATAGAATTATTATAATCTCGTAATCTAAGTCTTGAATTTGATATATTCTTATTTGATTTTTATAGAATTACTATAGTATTGTAATCTAAGTCTTGAATTTGATATATTCACTAGGTTGACTTAAATCAATTAAATATACTACTAATTTAATATTAAAAAAATATATCTTAAATTTTTTAAGTTAAATTATAATTTTATAGGTTAAATTATAATTTTATAGATTATTCATATTATTTTTAAAGTTACAAAATAAAAAATTTCACCCGATCAGCAGCATAATAGTGGCCAATGATATAGTCTTTTTAATTTTTAGAAGGGGATGGATTGTAATTATATGCTCCTAAGAATATTTCAAATAAAACTAAAAGGCATCTTTATTGTGTATCGTGCACAATGCAGCTTCCAGTTAAAGATTGATGACTTTTCTTAAAAAACCAAATAGTTGAACAAACACTCGAGGGTAATTTTGTATTTTACATATTTATTGCATGATGTAATTACTTTTGTGTCGTTGAAAAAAAAGAAGAACACAGTTAATATTTTAGGGGTTTTTTCAAAATTTTATTTTTTATATAATCTAATTACTTCATATCTCATGAGATTATTATTATTATTATTATTTTTGCAATTATCGTGGGCGTCAAAACTGTTATAATCTTTTTATAAATAAAAGAAAAGGTGATTAATTGCACGCGTTAACAGGTGAGAAACACCAACACCTCCTGATAACTGTTAATCGCCTTCAAGAACAGCATCCAAAGGGGCGCCACCCCTTACACGGCAGGAAACGTTCTCCACACGCATCTGAATTGAAGTTGAAAGACATTCAAGATGTAAACTTTTAACTCATTTTTCTCAGATTGTACGAAAAATGCAGTGTATAAATAAATGTACGGTGAATTTCCATCTCTTTGCTGCTTTGGTCAATGGCCATAAAGAACATGCTAGTTGTCTTCTATTCATCGCTGTTGAGCATTTCAACCACAGATTTTCATGGCTTGAAGAGAACACTAGCCATATGAAACGTGGCAGTCTCGAATGTAGCAACGCACTCGGGTACTGAGAGGAGACGTGCTTGAAAAAATTAATTTATTGTGATTTTTATTCTTTAAAAACCCAGAAAGAATTACCAAAAACAAAAGCAAAATAGAGTTTAAAAAGGAGTTTAATTTCAGAAATGAAAACTGCAAACATTGCATAATGGAAAGGAGGCGTCGGTGCTAAAATGGGAGCACAAGTACCATTACTTTTTCGACCCATTTTACCTCGTCACGTCTGCAAGGACAAAAATACCCTCCTCCATTCCAAGACATCAAGGCCAAGCACACGCACGCCGTACGCCTACTCCACAGCCCACACTTGGCTGGAAAGACCCCAACAGATCGAACATCTTCATTTCCAACTCTATCCGATTGATTGGTTATTCACCTGTCATCATCGTCTCTCAGGTAGACTCAACTCTCTAATATTAGCGTTTCGACATTCGATCGAAGATGGGAGGAGGAGCAGATCATGGACACGGAGCAGAGGGGGCCCACGGTGACTTTAGGGCGAAGGTTTGGAGCATGAGTGGAGGTCCATACTGCAGGCCCAAGCACTGGCGCCGTAACACCGCCATCGCCATGTTCGGCGTCTTTCTCATCTGCATTCCCATCGCCATGAAATCAGCCGAGCTCGAGGTAATTTTATGTTCTTAATTGTTTTTCTTTCTGTTTGTTTGGTTGCCGAGAAACTGTAGGAATGATAAGGTGCTTGAATTCTGGATCTTAAATCCTTAAAACAGTGTAGGGGACGGCGATTTAGTTAGAGAGGTGTAGCGTAGGACTTTGGAAGGAAATGGATACTGGATTCAAAATTGTTGATTGGAGTGTTTGGTTTTAGTGAAACCTAAGTTGAATTACTTTGGTCTAGTTAATCACTGTAAGGGAGTCTAATTAAGTTCTTTTAATCTTTTGATTTTCAGTATTTTCTCAGTTCATACCAATACTAATGCTTAGTAAATTATCTACATCCAATATTACTTATCATTGGGTTTAATTAAATTCAAATTCCTAATCAGTGTTAAATAATGATGTCTTTCACGTGAAAGGATCAGCTATAATTGGGATAATTGACATTTTTCCTCTTCTTGTTCTTCTTCTTCTTCTTTGCCAGGATCCCTTATAGTTTTATTATTATGCATTTTCTATGCAGTTTATACGACCTTTGTGGCAATTCTGATAGTTTCTGTACATGGGCGGATACGTCTTGGTGCCTACAATAATTGTTTCTTTAACACTTTTACTCATTAAAAAAGGTGCCAACAAGTCTGTATCTAATCAATGATTAGCTATATCAATAATGGGCTTAGCGGTGGTTTATTACTAATGTAGTGGATTCCTTGATTTTTTTTGAGATCAGTATTTCAAATATGTCCATATGTTGTGTAAGTCTATGAAATTGTGGTTCCTTTTGTTTCTGTGTGCGGGCCATGTCTTGTGGGGGACTGCATCAG